TAGTATCTATACTAGTTTCAAAAATAATTTTGAGCTTCTAAAGGCAATTATAACATGATGTTGACCTGGGTCAAACCTGGGTCAATTAAATCATGACCCAACCCGACCTGTTCAGGTTGACCCAACTCATTTCGGAGCTCTAGTTTTATCTATTCTTTGTGGAAGTTATATGATAAAATTTCAATCACAAAAGGTCTAGGAGAAATACAACTTGAGAAAAACAATTATGCTTTAATAAGTGATTCAGAAAATAATGATAAAAATTTATTTAATAGAAATAAAATTAGATTCTTATAAATCATTCTAAATGATTTTTTTTTTAACATAGTTAGTGATTCTGATATTGAAAGCAAGTTCTAAAAAAGAAAGGATTGGTTTATGTGAGCCACATTGATGTCAACATACCAATACCAAAAAGAAAAGGATCAAGCAAGGGTGTTATATGTATTGAGTTATCATTATGAACTCAGGAGAAAGTATTGCTGATGAAGATGAGCAGATAATTGTCCACTATAGATATTTTCATTTATTATAATGTCATTGATTTTCTGTAGCTCAGTCTTATGTACACTGTTTGAAAAATCAATATTTCTTTGTATCTTCCCTCACTTTCAAGGATGAGTGTATGGTCTTTTCACCAATTTTATGTGCAGAAACATAAGTAGGGGCTATCAATGGGTATTATTTTCTTTTAGATTAATGATTTGAAGGACTTTTCAAACTGTCAAAAAGAAGTAGGTGTATTTTCCATCTGATGATTTTTCAATGATGTCAACTGATGAAACATAGATCTTGATTCTCAAGCTCAGGTAAAAGCAACCCTAATATTGTCACATATGCTTCTGAAATGGTCTCTTTTTTTAGGTAGCTATTTTTAAGTGAATTTATTGCTTAGGGGAATCTTTCTCAATGTGTGGTAAAACATACTAGCAAGTCTTGTTCTGATTTTGCTGCAACCTTTATCATGAGGTGTTAAAAGAAAAACGGCTCACTGTGTACCTAGCAAAAAATAAAGAATGGGCAGCCATTCACTGGACCATCACCCTACCTTTTTTATTTTTAGTGTTGAATAACTTCGATTTTAGACCCGTTTTTGGATCTGATTGTGGCTGAGGAACATTTGATGGTTAAAATGGTATAACCTGATACTTCATTACCAAATTATCCAATGTTTTTCCATGATGGAATGTTTGCATGGATTGCATTAAGTGAGGTGTTTCTTTTTTTTCATGTAGGTAAAGCTGTGCATGTAGATCATTTCATGGTTTTGAAATTTGTCATGTTTGAAGAAATGCCATAATTCACCATCCCAAGGTCCTTCCACAACTTGTTCTGGCATATTGTAGTAGTGCAAGTATATGTGCAATGGGTGACTGCTTGGCATAGTGTTGCCATTCCATGAAAATGGGTCTGTTTGTCTTTTGCCATCATCAAGGTGTAGAAGATCTGAGGAAGCCTTTACACACTTATTTCTTTTTAAAAAGGGGGACAAATTCGATGGCAAGGTTGTGGTTTTTTATGGATGTTTCTCACATTTACATTTTTGGTGTCCAGTATCTGGTTCTAATTTTGAAAATTTCTTCTTTTCTCAAACATCAATGTAGCTAGTACCAATACAATCAGGACCTAGCTATCTATTGAAGGTGTTATTTTTTAATGTACTCATAGTGCCCCTTTTCCATAGGGGAAAACATCAAAGCTTCCAGATCAGGGTTTCCAAACAAGATCAGGAGTTTGACATTGTTCAATTCAAATCAGTCTACCACATAGTTTGTATCTTTGTTGTGTATTTTTGGAGGAAAGAATCATTTGGGATAACCAAATCTGGAGGATTGGGAACCTCTTCTGGAAGTTGACTGATAGTGGTTCAACAAGTAAGTTAAATATGGGCATTTTATTTGATAATAATTCTTTGATGTCATAACATTATAAAATCACATGACTCAATCCAAACACTTGCATGTATATTCATTCGGAGATCAAAATTCATGACCAATGATATACTGCTACCCCAAAAAATCGCAAAAAAAAAAATGCATTGGTTTTGTATCCGAATTCAAGGGTCGAGGCAATGAATTATTTGTATGATTCCTCTACATAATTACCGGAATTAATGGGAGGAGGAATGAATGAAGTGAGTATAACAACAAATTTTGGTTTTTTATAATGTATAATCTTTAAATATAATAAAAAAATATTATACTTGAACATTTATCAATTATTCAATAGTTATATAGGCAAAGTAAGTGTTAAAGATTTACGAAGCTTCCAAAGCAAGTCTTGTACAATATACTTGATGAACGTTTTATCAATTATTCAATAGTTGCATGATAGGCGGCGGACGGTTTGATGGAAGTAAATGTTAAAGACAAGATTTACGACGCTTGCAAAGCAAGCTTTGTAAAATATACTAAAATCATTCTAAAAAACCAAAATTCTCTTTTCCTTTAATAAATAATTAAATGAATAAGTCAGAGATGTAAAAATCCCGTGTTACCATTACTGTCTTCAATATAATTGGTTCATTGTTGACATATTAAAGCATTTATAAACCCGTTTTTTTGTGAATCTCTCTAAACTTATTAACTAATACTCTCTATAAAGCAATGACCATATGAAGGCTTAGAGTATTTTACACCTTCTCAGCCACTCTTTTAAAGCGACATTGAAAAAATAATCTCAGCCTTGAAGCGAAAAAGCAATGCCATTTTTGAATGGTCATGGATTTACATAGAAAAGACCTTTCCATATGAAAAGATATTCATCGGAAAGCTTTAATGGAGAAATTTCGTTTTACTTATTTTTTTAATATAGAAGATCAAGTGCAACATGTCACACGACCAGTAAATTTATAATGTTTCCCTTTTTTGATGCAACAAAGCAACAAGGGTATTGATTCAACCATTGCACATTCATGTTTAATAATTTAACCCCCCCCCCCCTCCGGATGATATAATGTAAATTATACCAAAATTAAATTGTTATTGATATTATTGTTATTTGATTTTAATTTTCCCTTCACTTTTATGTCTTCCGTTTTCATCATGTTCTCCAATTTTTGATATATGAATATTCTCAATTCTGCATGTTCCAAAATCGATATTGGGGAATTTATTTAGAATTTGAACAGCTGAAAATGGAATTCGTTCATAATTTTTATACGATCCTTTAATTTTACGATGACTTGTATTAATCAAAGTGGCATGAAGCTAAAAAAAAATAATCAAAAAAATAAATACAACAATGTTTGTATCATTGTTAACGTTTAAAGTTGTTGGAGATAAATTAAAATTTTAAGCAAGTAAATAATACCTTTAACGGTCTATCAGTTTTTTTTAAATATCCAGCTTCAGAAAATTTTTCATTCAAAAATTCTATAGATCAGTAAATTTTTAAAGAAAAAAAAATAAATATGTGATAATAAATAAATAGATAAAGAAATGTATGTATAAAAGTTATACCAGCTAATTTTGTTAAAATCTTTTTTTCTCCCAATTCTTCAACTTTTGCATATAAAACATTTGTTTTTGCTAGTAGTAAATTTACATTTTGTTTATTATTAAATATAGATATAAATGTAAATATAAATGTTTGTAGAATTATAGAATTATCTATCTCTCTTACTAGAATCTTCATCCATTATATCCAAACCAGATAATTTTACAACTGGTATTCTTGATCCAACTAAATCATTAACTTCAGTAGACAAACTTTTTAATAATTGCACGGCACCTTTAATATCTTCTTCAACATACAAACTTAACATCCCAAGGGTCAAATGAAATGAAGATGGATTTATAAGTATGGTGGGATCAATCTTGGGTATGGAAAGTGAGAGAACATCTGATTGAAAATTGGATATCTTTTGTTGCAAATTTCGATCAGTATCAAGTGGTAAAGATAAAAAATGTGTTGGAGGTGATCTTGGAACAACCTATTATTATATATAATTATAGGAAACATGAACAGTTAATATTGTTTATTAAGTGGAAATAAGTTTTAACTTTATATATATATAAATGTAATGTCATATCATACTGATCTAATTATTTCATAGATTCTTTTTTTAGATTTCTCAATGTTTTCATTTGAACCTGTAATTGCTGAAATTTTAAACACCAAAAGATATTTTTATTTTTTGTTCCTCCAAAAAAAAAAAAATAAAAGCATAAGAAATATAAATATATATTTACATACATACTACATCTTCGCCATTTATAATTTTTATTCTAGTATTTGTATCAGATTCTATTTGTTTCAATGTTGCACCTCCTCTGCCTATTTTATATAATTGCAAAGTTATCAAGGATAACAATAATAATTATAAGGATCATTTATTATTATTATTATCAAAATTACCAATTATATGTCCATACATTTTTGATGGTATTTTAAGTTTTAATGTTGTTATTTGATCATTTGATACATTTTTTTCATGGATTTGTTGTATATTTGGATCGATGCTTTTAACCAATTTGCTGTCATTGGAAACTAAATTTTCATTACTTTTATTATGATTTTTTGAATAACTACTTTTTGTATCTAAATTTTTAAATAATGAATGAATGAATTGGTTAATTAATCAAAAATTTTTTTGAAAAAATAAAAAGATAAAATAATAAGAAATAATGATAGTAACTCGCCAGAATTTTCTTTGTTTATTGTGTCAATAGATACTATAGAAGAACTAGGAACTCTATATGTACGTTTTTCAGCTTGAATAAGTGTAATTCCTTGCATACATCTTGAATTAGAAACATCTGGTGAATTTTTCATGATTTTGAATTTTTTATATGGAACGTACAAAATTTCAGGAAATCAATATTTAAAAAATTACCACGTTGTACTACCAATGTAATGTGATCATGATATAGCCTTAATTTGGACACGAAAGTTAAATTCAATAGGGAAGGGACCAGATAATTCTCCAGTTTCGTGATACTTGTAAATAAAGAAAGAATGTTATATCTTACCATAGCAAAAAGGTAAGCCAAGAATTACGAGGTAAAGGAACTTGGTATTGTGATAATTTTAATCAAAATTTACAAGCCTAAAAGAATAAATCTATTTTTTTATCATTAAATAATTTTTTATTTTGCCTTTCATCAAAACTGGCAGCAAAATCTTGCTTCAATTAGTTAATTATTAATTATTTTCACTAATATTAATATCGTTATTGCTATTACTTCATTATAATTATTATTGATATTGATGATATTATTATCATCACCATCAGATAGCGGTAGCAGCAGTAATTGTAATAGTACTGTTTAATCATTGTCATTACTATTATTGTTGTTATTATCTAACAGTTTATTATTATTAATACTATTTCTATTACTACTACTGAAGTTGTTGTTGTCGTTCAATGAATCAATATTGATATCCTCATTATCTAATAGTTTAGTATTACCATATCTTTTAATTTACTACGAATAGTCAAACAAATGGTGGACTTTTTCCCTCCTTATCCATTCTAATTAAATGAAATAAGCTGGCAAATTGTATTTTCCGTAATATTATTTTTGCGACGATCATTTTTATCCATTTCAGAGGAAATTTCCGGTATTAAAGAACTTTTGTTATCTGATTGGTTCTCCCATTATACCGAGCGTCATTTCATCATGGAAACGTGAATGGAAACGAATTTTTTTACGTTCGCTGTCCCGAGATAGAAAATTCTATCATATATATAATTCTAGATCATACATTTCATATGAAATTCCCTGACAAAATTAAATCAAATAATCTAGTCCAATTTCAGAGACTGTCAATGAAAGTACGGATAGTTGACTAATTATATCATTCATTCATCCATTCATTCATAATAATTCTTATAAATTAACGGAAAAAAATCAAATAGCTTTAAATTTAAACTTTTCTTACCAAAAAATCAATTTTTATTTACTTTTCTTTTGGTGGTTTTGCTACTTGGTTTTTTTTCTTTCACAGAAATATTTATACTTTAGTATATTTTAGTGTGTGTTAGTTAATAATAATAAATCAAAGCATTCGTTCATCCATAGAAGGAAGAAAAACCAAAAGGCAAAATTCAACCAAAAAAAACAACATTCATTAGTTATCATATTTTAATAATACAAAAGAGAAAAACGGACACGGTCTACCATCATCACCATCACCATCACCATCGCCATCACCATCACCATATCATCATTAATTATTCAATATGACTTTAACAAATTTAACAAAATCAAAGATTACAATGAAGGATTCAAAAAAAAGTTTTCTCAAAAAATCAAGTTGGAATTGGTTTTTTACTTCAACTTTTAATGTTATTGTCATAATATTGATTATTATATCAATCGATAACGTTAACGCCTTACCAACAGAAATACCATCATCATCATCATCACCAAACGAAAGTAGTGATAATCCTATATTACTTATTTGGGTTCTTGTAATGGTCTCGGTCATAATATTGTTTGAGATAGTTTATTGGAATTATAGATTAATTCTCAGGTTAAGATCAGGCAGTAATGACAATGATAATAACGAGAGCAATAATAATGTAGAAGGTGATTATGATCATAATAATAGTGACATGGTTATTATAAATAATGGTCATACAATAGTCGACGATGAATTACCTCCGTACGATGGGCTTAGTTTACCAAAATACGTTGAGATAGTTAATGATAGCACTTTAAATAATAATAATAATAATAATAATAATAATAATAATAATAATAATAATAATAATAATAATAATAATAATAATAA